CGTGAGCCATGGCCGCTGAGCCTGCGCGTCCGGAGCCTGTGCTCCGCAATGGGAGAGGCCACAACAGTGAGAGGCCCGCGTACCGCAAATAAATAAATAATAAACAACTAGAAAGTTGTTTGTTTCACTGCTTCAATTCTTGCTTCCAGTTCTCATTTGAAACCCATCCAGTCCAGCTTTCACACCCACTGTTCCACTGATACCTTGCTTATCTAAACGTATTTCTAAATCTAGTGGTATGTTCTCAGTCATCATCTTGTCCTTTCAAAAACTTGTTGCGCTCCGTCTTCTGGAAGCACTTTTTTCTTGGCTTTCACATCGCACTGTTTTTAGAAAATAAATTTAGCTAGCTACCAGCCGTCCGTTCTAATTTTCTTCTCCGTGTTCACTTCTCAGTTTCCTGTGCCTCTTTCTCTGACCTCCCTGGTCTCTGACTGTGGGAGTATCTCTGGCCTTAGTCCTTGAATTTCTTTTCTCTGTCTGCACCCACTGTTTCTGTTTCTATCTCATGTTATAACTTTAAACACTGATGTCTCCTTTCACGTCTCCACCCAGACCTCTCCCCTGAAACCGCAGTCCTGTACCCAGCTTATCCAGCTGTCACCTCAGCATCTCTGCTGGGACAGGCAACTGGCATCTTCACCTTAATATGTCCAAAAATGACCCCCCGAACCCTCCCAGATATATTCTCTTGCCATCCTCCACGTCTCAGTATAGGGCAACCCTGTACTTAGGTCCTGGGGCTTAGGTGAGCATCTCAGCATGTTTTAAAAATATACATTGCTTTACTCGCTAGTGTTTTAACTAATGACAAAAAAAAATTAAAAATAGATGTTTAGTTAAAATGGATAAGGGAATAATACATGGTTCTAAAATCTCCTGGGGTATGGGGGAAAAGGTTTGAAGACCACAGCCCTTTCTTATCTGCTTTCAATACCCTTTAAAAAAAAATATATATATATATAATTGAAGTATAGTTGATTTACAATGTCGTGTTAGTTTCAGGTGTACAGCACAGTGATTCAGTTGTATATTATATACATATTACATATATTCTTTTTCAGATTGTTTTCCCTTATAGATTATTACAGGATATTGAGTATAGTTCCCTGTGCTATACAGTAGGTCCTTGTTGGTTATCTGTTTGACATATAGTAGTGTGTATATGTTAATCCCAACCTCCTAATTTATCCCTCACCCCTCTCCCCTTTGGTAATCATACATTTGTTTTCTGTGTCTGTGGGTCTATTTCTGTTTTGTAAATAAGTTCATTTGTACCTCTGATACCCTTCTGATCTTTTCTCCTACTCGTCCCCTCCTCACTCACCCTACTGAAGCCACACAGGCCTGTTTGCCCTTTCTGGGACCAGGACACTACCACTTCAGGGCCTTCCCATGGTGTCCCTCTGCCTAGAGGCCTCTGACCCTTCACTTGCAGGTGGCAAAATCCCTTCTTTCCTCGGGTCTTTGTTCTGCTATCACCTCTCACTGGCACCTTCTCTGGCTTCTCCCTCCTCCCCCGCCCCCCTAATAACATTCCAGCCACTCCCTCACCCCTACTTCCGGGCCATATCGCCTGCTCTGCATGTTTCTCTGCTGCTTCCCTTCCCCTTCCCCGTCCCCTTCCCCTGGCTGGATGCGCGTGACAGCGAGGCCCCAGGAGAGAGCAGAGCACAAGGTGGGAGGTGGGCTGGTCCTGCCTCCTCTGAGTGGGGCTCAACTCTGGCATCACGGTACACTGCTGAGGCGTTTTGCAGATCCTGAGATTCCCCTTCAAATAGTCACGTGGAATGGAACCTCCATAATGTGTAAAGTGCCTCCGGTGATTCTGATCTGTACCCAGCTTTGAGCACCAAGGCTCTGGCTCCTCCATTTATGAAGCTGAGGTCAGCCCATGATCCAGAGAGGTGAGGGGGCTCTGTTCTGAGTGGAGTTTGATCAGGGCTGGTCTGTGACCAAGGGGAGGGTCCGTCCAGCCCCGAGTCCCCCTGCTACAGCGTACGTGGGGGCTTCAGGAGGGGAGTGAGATCTGAAGGAAAGGGTGGGAAAACTCACCTCTTGGTCTCTGTAGGAGTTTACTGTCCTGAGTCCCTCCTGGGACAGTGGGCAGCAGAGGACTGTCTGTTCCACATGCTGAGGTCCTCCCTGTGTGTGTGGCCATGACTCAGGAAGGGCGTGTGTCGATTCTAAGCATTAAACAGCCTATTCTTGACACTCAGGATTGACTTCTCAAGACTGATCTTTGCCTGAGGAAGAAATCTGGAAGAGGAGGGAGAGGAAAGAACAGGAGTCAGGAATGGCTCTTTCTCAGGTAAAGTCATATTCTCAGTCGATTGTTTTGTTTGTCCTTCCTGAAATGCCCTTTTTTGGACTCACTAATGTTATCTGACTCTGAAGTGTCCTGCCTGACACCTGTACAGTCACACCCACCCAGGTCCTTCCCTCAGGGCCTGGCATCTCCACTTAGATCCCGTCTCCCCATGACCCAGTGACCTGGAACTTGTGAAGAGGCTCCACTGGGTGTAGTCCTGGGCAGGGCTTCACACCCATGGACTGGAGACAGGGTGTCAGTGGTATTCAGTGGCAGGAATTGCTTAGATCTAGATGCACTGTCTGCTCTCTGTCAACCAGGATAAAGAAGCTGCACCTGGGCTTCCCTGGTGGCGCAGTGGTTGAGAGTCCACCTGCCGATGCAGGGGACACGGGTTCGTGCCCTGGTCCAGGAAGATCCCACATGCCGCAGAGCGGCTAGGCCCATAAGCCATGGCCGCTGAGCCAGCATGTCCGGAGCCTGTGCTCCGCAACGAGAGAGGCCACGACAGTGAGAGGCCCACATAACACAAAAAAAAAAAAAAAAAAGAAGCTGCACCTATAAGTCATGTACTAATGTGTAGGAATAGTTGGAAAATTCTGGAAAAGAAGAGTGATAAGAGGAAACCAGCTCTGCCTGACTTTATAATGCTTTCAAAGCTAAACAAGTGAATCATGGTGTTTCTGGTTCCAAAACATTAATCATTAATGTTCTCCATTACCATCATGAATGGAGAAGAAGGTTCAGAAACAGACATCAGTGATAGAGGATGTTTTATTCGATAATTGGTTTTAAAATATGGAGTCAATCGAAATATCTATCATTAAGAGGTTTAAAAAATTATTCTCAGCACATCCATCCCATAGGGACCACGGTGTTCCCGCAAGGACTATCTTGCAGCAGGTGTTTTAGGTAAAAATGATTATAATTCAGCCAAGACATGGAGCCACAACTTTATTCTTGTCATCAGAGAGGCTGTAGCCAAATTCTGGTTCCACTGTTATTAATAAATATTATATTCTTTTATTTTAAGCATCATGTGAGATATATATATGGTGCTCAAACTTCCAGCAAAGCAGCAGCTTAGGTACTAGGATGTAAAGCATCCCCTTCCCTATCTCCATGCCTCATGTGTCAGTGGGGAACCACTGTTGTAGGTTTTGTGGCAAGACTCATCTCAGATCTTGTAAGATTGCATTTCACATCATTATGCAATTTTAGGAAAAATTCTTCATTGAATGTTTGTTGTAATATTTTATTCTGTAAATTTTAAAAACATACACAGCATGTGTCTAGAAGTGGTTTTCACGTTAGTAAACACAGATACAGCTTGATCTTCATTGGAACTCTCTCTTAATGAAGACTCATGGGACCTTTACAATTTTTTGCTGACATAAAGAACGTGTCAGTGGCTGCCTTGGAGCAGGCTGACTTCTCTGCAGATGTCTGAGGATTTCTCTGGGCAACCTGACATGTGACTACTGGGTCAAGAATGGTGCATTTCATATTCTGATAGATTTTGTCAGATGTCCTCCCCTTAAACTGCACAGGTTCCCTCCCCGCCACCAACACGTGAGACTTTCCTCAATGTAAGCAAAACTTGATACTGTATTCTTTCTGTATTTTGAAAATTTGGGGGAAAATGACAATCCTTTGTATTTCCATTTCCAACTACTTGTGAGTCAAGTTCATTCTTTTATGGAAATAAAACATGGATTTTCATACTTTGCTCAGTTTTCTTTTGATATGTATTGAAAAGCTATTTTATATTTTGTAGTTTAATTCTTTACACATGCCCTGGTATCCTTCCTAGTTTAGCATTTCTTTGCAGTGAAACATGAATCCTTCCTTCTTGCCCTCTGCTTTCTGATCGTGCTTGAGAAGGCCTCACCTCGCATAATTTTTGTGTGTGTGTGTGGTACGCGGGCCTCTCACTGCTGTGGCCTCTCCCGCCGCGGAGCACAGGCTCCGGACGCGCAGGCTCAGCGGCCATGGCTCACGGGCCCAGCCGCTCCGCGGCATGTGGGATCTTCCCAGACCGGGGCACGAACCGGTGTCCCCTGCATCGGCAGGCGGACTTTCAACCACTGCGCCATCAAGGAAGCCCTTCGCATAATTTTAAAATACTGTGTTCCGCATAGTCCTAATCGTTCCTGTTTATAATTACGTCTTTAATTTGGATTTAACTAAATCTCTAGTTTGGCTTTTTTGTGTATATCTTGCAGCTATTTTATTTCATTCATTTTAGTTTCAGATATTACCCACACTGTGCATACCCCCCACACACACATTCACGTATGTCAATAGTTTCACATGTAATTTGGCAAGGCCCACCATTTTGTTTTTCTCTTCAAAATTTTCTCTCTCCTGGGCTTCCCCGGTGGCGCAGTGGTTGAGAATCCGCCTGCGAATGCAGGGGACACGGGTTCGATCCCTGGCCCAGGAAGATCCCACATGCCGCGGAGCAACTAAGCTCGTGTGCCACAACTACTGAGCCCGCGTGCCGCAACTACTGAAGCCTGTGCGCCTAGAGCCCGTGCTCCACAATGAGGGAAGCCACTGCAATGAGAAGCCTGCGCACCGCAACGAAGAGCAGCCCCCGCTCGCCGCAACTAGAGAAAGCCCGCGTGCAGCAACGAACACAGCCAAAAATAAATAAATAAATATTTTTAAAAAAAGAAAAAATTTCTGTCTCCTAAATATAATGCAGACTTTTTATTTGAAATCCCACATTTCTTTCGCCTTCGAATTGCTCTGAATTTCTAAATCCCTGAGGTCTTTACGCCACCACATCTTCCAGCGAAAAGTAGGTTTGCCGGTCTTGGATCGCGTCTTTGTTACATCCTTCAGTAAAGTTTTTAAAATTTCATCACATATGTCTTATGAATAGGTGTCACAGTAAAATCGCTAATGGGAATTTGCTTCTCGCTCTTCTGGCTCCGGCTTAGGCGTCCTGTGCAGTGGTGAATGGCAGGAGCCTGCTGGCCCACTTGCCTCAGCCTTACCTTTAGTGGAAATGCCTCTAGTGCTTCCAGTGATTATGATACTTGGTGAAATAGTTTTACTTATTAACAGTTCCTTTAATTTCCTATTTGGCATAATTTGGGGGGGGGGTTAGTTTACCATATCCACTTTTTAAAAAATTTATTGAAGTATAGTTGATTTACAATGTTGTGTTAATTTCTGCTGTACAGCAAAGTGACTCAATTATACATATATATATTCTTTTCCATTCTGGTTTATCACAGGATATTGAATATAGTTCCCTGTGCTATCCAGTAGGACCTTGTTGCTTATCCCTACTTGGCATCATTTTATTTATTTGTTTATTTTTTTGGCTGCATTGGGTCTTCTTTGCGGCACGCGGGCTCTCTGTAGTTGCTGTGAGTGGGGTCTATTCTTCTATGCGGTGCACAGGCTTTTCATTGTGGTGGCTTCTCTTGTTGCGGCACACAGGCTTCAGTAGTTGCAGCACGTGGGCTCAGTAGTTGTGGCACATGGGCTTAGTTGCTCCGCAGCATGTGGGATCTTCCCGGACCAGGGTTCGAACCCATGTCCCCTGTATTAGCAGGCGGATTCTTAACCACTGCGCCACCAGGGAAGCCCGGCATAATTTTAATCATCCAGTATTTCTTCAAAGGTCTACTGCCATGATAAACATTTTTTCTATTTAATCTGCTAAATTAACCTACAACGTTAGTAAATTTCCTCATCTTGAATCACCTTTTTTTTTATTAGTGGAATAAACTCCACTTGACTTTTGTTGGTGGCTGATTATCTGAGTTAAATGGATAGACCTGTATTTATGTTTTTGCATGTATGTGGACTCTGTCATGCTTGAAGATACCACTCATACTCTAGCTCATCCAGGTACTGAATATCACTTAGTGTGTAGAACATAGTATGTATCTCTTCCACATAAACAATCCTGTGTTGAATAATTTCATTTGTATATTTCTTCCATTGTCCTCAAAATGAGAAATCTACAGTGATTCAGTGGATCTGATATCCTCTGCTGGAAAAATATAATAAAATTAGGGACATATAAATTACTCAAAATGATCTGTCACTTCAACTGAATCAATCCCTACACCTCTTTCCTACTCACATTTTGTGTGAAAACAACAACTCTCCCCATGGTCTCTTAGTGAAACATGTTTTTTATTTCAGGGACTATTGACATTCAGGGATGTGGCCATAGAATTCTCTCAGGAGGAGTGGGAATGCCTGGACCCTGCTCAGAGGGCCTTGTACAGGGACGTGATGTTGGAGACCTACGGGAACCTGCTCTCCCTGGGTGAGGATAACACCCCTCCAGAAGTTGGGATCTGCCCTAGTGAGTCTCTTGAGAACCTCTGCCTTGCTTGACTGAGATTGAAGCTGTGTTGACTATGAAATGAAACATAGGATAATGTAGCATCTGGAGTTTAACCTTCCCCTCTCTTTCGATGGTCACACACATCAGATTAGTAGTGGCTTCAGAAGATGAGTAAAAACAAAATCTTATGGCAAACTTTAAAAAATTTCCAATTCTGGATCCTCTCTTATCCCTGTAGTTTTCATTCAGTAGTTCTTGGAAGACAACTAGGTTATCTTTTTAAAAGATGCTCCTCAAGCATTCAGAATGAGACAGTGAGTGAAGAGATTTGTGAAATATTTTCTTAGACACATCTGTAACGTCCTCTCAAAAGAACAAAGGGCTAGAGTTGTATTCTGGAAAAGCCGCATCACATTATGTTCCTCTCTTATAAACAGAAAACTCTTTTTCTGACCTGAATATTATTTAAATTTTGGAGCAAGGGAGAAAGCCCCAGAATGTGGAGAACAAAATGAAAGAAGTGAAAAAAGTTGGTGGGAATGTATCAAAGGTGTGAACATTGGTAAGAGCTCAGAAGGGCAAAGAGGAAGCCGCACGATTAATAGTTTGGGAAAGTCCCTGTAAGTGGGAAAGTTCTGTGGGAAAACAAATGTTTATTTCTTGTGAGCTCTCAAAGGAAATTTTTCTCCCCTTCCACTTTTTTTTTTTTTTTTTTGCGGTACGCGGGCCTCTCACTGTGGTGGCCTCTCCCGTTGTGGGGCACAGGCTCCGGATGCGCAGGCTCAGTGCCCATGGCTCACAGGCCCAGCCGCTCCGTGGCACGTGGGATCTTCCCGGACCGGGGCACGAACCCGTGTCCCCTGCATCGGCAGGCGGACTCTCAACCACGGCGCCACCAGGGAAGCCCCCTTCCCTTCCACTTTCTGCTTTCTTCTTCAGACATGTAAAAGTTCATCCTTCCAGCCTCCAGGGGTGCTCCAGCTCATGCAAAGACCAAGGCAAAATTTTGATCATTACCTATGACACTCTTTGTGGGGCACTGGGAGGGCTGGTTATAAGAGGTCCTCTTTCTTCTTTGGTCTCATTCTATACCCAGTTTTCAGTCCACACAGATCAGAGCTGAAGCCTCCCCAGTCCTGGCCCCAGTTCTTCTCCAGGTTCCATTCCCATTTCAATACTTGGGAGACCTTCTCATGGGATGGGAAAACATTGCCATCTGGGGCCCCAGGCGAGTGCATGGGGCTATGTCAAGTCCCCTCTGCCTCTTTAGGACCCCCAGCCATTTCTTCAGTTCTGCTTTTGCCACACATCAAGGAGTATGTGTAACAGAAGTGGTGTGGGTCTTTTGATCCAGCAGTAAAATTGCTTTTACTCAGCGGGAGAATATGCAGTACCATACCATACCTTAAGTTCTGGTGTGTTGTGCTTTTGTTTCTTTCTTAGAGTGTTTTCTAATTTCCCTGGTGAGATCACCTCTGACTCACTGGTTGTTTTAAGAGTGTTTTAAAATTTCCATATATTTGTGAGTTTTCCAGTTTTCCTTCAGTTAATCATTTCTATTTTCCTTCTACTGTGGTCGGAGAAAATACTTTGTATGATTTCGGTCTTTTTCAACTTATTGAGACTTGCTTTATGGTTTAACATATGGTCTACCCTAGAGAATGTTCCATGTGCACCTAGAGAAGAATGTGTATTTTGCTTTTATTGGGTGGAGTGTTCTATATATGTCTGTGAGAGCTAGCTGGTTTATAGTCTTGCTGAAATCCTCTGTGTCCTTACTGAACTTCTGCCTGGCTGTACTCTCTATGAAAAGGGGGCAGTGGAAGTCTCCAAATGTTATTCTAGAACTGTTTTTATTTCTTCCTTAAATTCTGTCAGTGTTTGCTTCATATATTTGGGGGCCCTCTTGTTTAGGTGTGTATATGTTCATATTTGTCGTAATTCCTTGCTGAGTTATCCTTTTTTCAATAAATAATGTCCTTCTATGTCTCATAAAAATTTTTGACTTAAAGTTTATTTTGCCTGATAATAGTATAGCACTTCAGGTCTCTTGGTTACTATTTGCGTGGAATTTGTATTAGTTTGCTAGGGCTGCCATAACAAAGTACCACAGCCTGTGTGGCTTAAACATCAGAAACGTATTTTCTCACGGTTTTGGAAGCTAGAAATCTGAGATCAGGTTGTCAGCGGAGTTGTGTTATCCCAGGTTATTCTCTTTAGCTTGTGGCTGGCTGGCTTTTCCTACCTGTGTCTTCACATGGTCTTCCCTCTGTGTGTCTGTGTCGTAATCTCCTCTTCTTATAAGGACACCAGTCATTAGATTAGAGCCCACCCCATTGACCTCATTTAACCTTAATTACTCCTTTAAAAGTCCTATCTTTAAGTACAGTCATATTTTGAGGTATTTGATGTTAGGACCACAATTTTTGGGGGGACACAATTCACCCCATAATTTTGGGGGGGACACAATTCATCCCATAACAGATTCACTTGCTGTTCTTTCATTTCTAACCTATTTGCATCTTTGTATCTAAGGTGAGTCTCCTACATATAGAACATAGGAACACCTTGGAGATACTGTGGATTTGGTTCTAGACCACTGCCATAAAGCAAATATCACAATAAAGCGAGTCACGAATTTTTTGGTTTCCTGGTGCATATGAAAGTTACGTTTGCATTATATGGTAGTCTATTAAGTGTACAATAGCAATATGTCTAAAAAAATGTACATACCTTAATTAAAAAATACTTCAGGGAATTCCCTGGTGGTCCAGTGATTAGGACTCTGCACTTCCACTGCAGGGGGGCACACGTTCAATTCCTGGTCAGGGGACTAAGATCCTTCATGCTGTGTGGCACAGCCAAAAAAAAAAAAAAAAATTTATTGCTAAAACTTGCTAATGTTCATCTGAGACTTCAGTGAGTCATAATCCTTGTGCTGGTGGAGGGTCTTACCTGGATGTTTGATGGCTGCTGACTGATCAGAGTGGTGGTTGCTAAAGGTTGGGTGGCTGTAGCAATTTCTTTTTTTTAAATTTTATTTATTTTATTTATGTCTGCATTGGGTCTTTGTTGCTGCATGCGGGCTTTCTCTAGTTGCGGCGAGCAGGGGCTACTCTTCATTGAGGTGCACGGGCTTCTCATTGCGGTGGCTTCTCGTTGCGGAGCACAGGCTCTAGGCTGCGGGCTTCAGTAGTTGTGGCACGCAGGCTCAGTAGTTGTGCCGCACAGGCTTAGCTGCTCTGTGGCATGTGGGATCTTCCCAGACCAGGTCTTGAACCCGTGTGCCCTGCATTGGCAGGCAGATTCTTAACTACTGCATCCCCAGGGAAGCCCTTCTTTTCTTTTTTTAAACATTTTTATTGGAGTATAGTTGATGCAGTTTCTTAGAATAAGACAACTAAGAAGTTTGCCTCATTGGGTGACTCTTCCTCTCATGTAGCAAGCAATGTTGTTTGGTAACATTTTACCCACAGTTGAACTTCCTTCAGAATTGGAGTCAGTCCTCTCAAACCCTGCGGCTGCTTTATCAACTAAGTTTATGTAATATTCTAAATCTTTTATTTAACATTTCAGTGGTCTCCACAGCATCTTCACCAGGAATAGATTCCATCTCAAGAAACCACTTTCTTTGCTCATCCATAAGAAGCAACTCCTCATCTGTTAAAGTTTTATCATGAGATTGCAGCAATTCGGTCACATCTTCAGGCTCCTTGCTATTTTTGCCACATCTGTAGTTACTTCCACTGAAGTCTTGAACCCCTCAAAGTCATCCATGAGGATTGGAATCAACTTCTCCCAAACTCTTGTAAATGTTGATATTTTGGCCTCTTCCCATGAATCATGAATGTTCTTAATGGCATTTAATATGGTGGCTCCTTTCCAGAAGGTTTTCAATTTAATTTGCCCAGCTCCATCAGAGGAATCACTGTCTATGGCAGCTATAGCCTTAAAAAATGTATTTCCTGAATAATAAGACTTGAAAGTTGAAATTACTCCTTAATCCATGGGCTGCAAAATGGATGTTGTGTTAGCAGTCATGAAAACAACATTAATTTTGTACATCTCCATCAGAGCTCTTGGGTAACCAGGTGCATTGTCTGTGAGCAGTAATATTTTGAAAAGAATCTTTTTTTCTGAGCAGTAGGTCTTAGTACTGGGCTTAAAATATTCAGTAAACCATGTTGTAAACAGATGTGCTGTCATCCAGGCTTTGTTGGTCCATTTATAGAGCACAGGCAGAGAAGATTTAACATAATTCTTTAGCGCCCTAGGATTTGGGGAATGGTAAGTGAGCACTGGCTTCAACTTAAAATCACCAGCTGTATTAGATCCTAACAAGAGAGTCAGCCTCTCCTTTGAAGCTTTGAAGCCAGGCATTGACTTCTCCTCTCTAGCTATGAAAGTCCTAAATGGCATCTTCTTCCAATATAAGGTTGTTTTATCTATATTGAAAATTTGTTTAGTGTAGCCACCTTCATTAATTATCTTAGCTAGATCTTCTGGATAACTTGCTGCAGCTTCTACATCAGCACTTAATGCTTCACCTTGCACTTTTATGTTATGGAGATGGCTTCTTTCCTAAAACTTCATGAACCAACCTCTATTAGCTTCAGACTTTTCTTCTGCAGCTTCCCCACTTCTTTCACCCTTCTTAGAAGAGAGTTAGGGACTTGCTCTGGATTAGACTTTGGCTTAAGGGAATGTTGTGGCTGGCTTGGTCTTCTATCCAGACCATTAAAACTTTCTGCACATCAGCAATGTAGCTATTTTGCTTTCCTATCATTCATGTGTTTACTGGAGTAGCACTTTTAATTTCCTTCAAGAACTTTTCCTTTGTGTTTACAGCTTGGCTGTTTGGTGCAAGAAGCTTAGCTTTTGGCCTGTTTCAGCTTTCAACATACCTTCTTCACTAAACTTAGTTGTTTCTAGCTTTTGATTTAAATGTAGACATGTGTGGCTTTTCCTTTCACTTGAACACTTGACCTAATTTCAATATTGCTATGTGTCAGAGAATAGGGAGGCCGAGAGAGAGAGAGAGAGAGAGAGAGAGAGAGAGAGAGAGAGAGAGATATGGGGGAATAGCCAGTCAGTGGAGCAATCAGAGCACAACTCATTTACTGATTTAAGTTAGCTGTCTATATGGGGTGCAGTTCGTGGTACCTCAAAATAATTACAGTAATAACATCAAAGATCACTGATCACAGATCACCAAAATGAATATAATAATAATGAAAAAGTCTGAGATACTGCAAGAATCACCAAAATGTGACACAGAGACACAAAGTGAGCAAATGCTGTTGGAAAAATGGTGCCAGCATATTTGCTCAACACAGGGTTGCCAGAAACCTTCAATTTGTAAAAAAATGCAGTAGCTGTGAAGTGCAATAAAGCGAAGTGCAATAAAAGGAAGTAGGCCTGTATAGTTGAATCCTATTTTTTTAATCCTTGCTGCAAACGTCTACCCTTTAATTGGAGTTTAGTCCATTTACATTTACTGTAATTAGTGATAAAGGAGGACCTCTGTCACTAGCTGTTTGTTTTCCATGTGCCTTATATCTTTTCCCCTCAAGTCTTCCATTACTGCCTTCTTTGTGTTAGATAGGTATTTCCTAACGTACAATTTTGATTCCTTCCTGTTTCCTTTACTGTACAGTTGGCCCTTGGATGATGTGGGGGTTTGCGGCACTGACCCTCCACACAGTTGAAAACTGTTTATAGTTTATAGTCAGTCCTCTGTATATGCAATTCTTCTGTATATGTGATTTCTTCTTATCTGTGGTTCTGCATCTTATGTTTATTTTGTTTGTGTTTTTTTTTTTTTGTTTTTTCATTGTTTTGGCCATGCTGTACAGCTTGTGGGATCTCAGTCCCTGACCAGGGATTGAACCTGGGGGCCATAGCAGTGAAAGCTCTGAATCCTAACCACTATAACCTGGCTTTTCAATGTGTCTGCTCTTTGCTCCAACTTTAATCTCTTGCCCCAAGTGTCAGCAGCTAATACATTTCCCTTTATATATGGTTGTTCTTTCTTTTTCCTTTTTTTTGGCCATGCCATGTGGCATGCGGGATCTTAGTCCAACCAGGGATCAAACCCATGCCCCCTGCATTGGGAGCACGGAGTCTTAACCACTGGACCACCAAGGAAGTCCCTAAATATGTTTGATAAGTGCCTCCTGCATAGCATCTCTGCCCTGGGAGAGTTTTGAGTTATGCAGCATTTTCCAATTCTCACATTATGTGTTCCTTTGAATATAAGTCCTTTTTCTTGTTCTTAAGGGAGGAGTCATTAGATTTCCACAGTCTGTAATTTTGTATAATTGTGGTTACTATTTACCTGTTGGTTTTATCTTGGTTTATTAAAATTTTTTATTTATTGTCACTTACAGATTATGGATTTCAGTAGCTAGCATAGAGTATGACTGCAGTTCACCAACTGTTAATGTTGTATAATGCCTATTCTGCTTGAATATAGATAGTTTTAGAGTAGATATTCAGAATATTTTGTCACACCAACGATATATTATTAAATTCTTCCTGATTTTGCTATTACCTTTTTAGTTTTTCAATTTGTAATTTTCATGTATTTATCTTAATCATTATGTTTTTTTGGATTATTTATCATTACTTCATATGGTGCTATCTGTCAGCACTTATTTGCATGCAATAATTTATGTAGTAAATCTGCATTTTTATAATACCTGTTTCTCTTCAATATGAGACAACCATTTGTCTACTGCCAATTGGTGTGTTCTTTGGTGTGGTAGTCAAAGAATACACTTTCATAGATAGGTAAGTTTACATAGTGTGAGTGATTTGGTTTTAGAGTGTTTGAAAGTAGGCTTCAGTTAAAATAATTTAAAATGCATGTATATTTTATTAAAGGATTCTATACACTTTCTATTCTTAAACATTTATAGAGTTTGGTTAAGAAGTTTTTCATCTCTTCAATGTAAGTATTACTTTTAGTGTAATATTCATCTTCCAACTCTACTTAATATGAAGACTGTGGTTATCTTTCAGATACCTCCATTAGTTTTCTGACCAAGGAGTTATTAAAGAAGAAAAACATTAATAACAGAGAATTATACCAACCAGTGGTCTTGGGAAGACATGGAAGCCATGGTATTGAGGATTTTGACTTCAGCAAAGTCAGGGGAACTGTGTATGAATTTGAGAATAAATGTGGATGTGAAGAAAGAAATTCCAAAGGAAAGCTTATGACAGATAACATAAATCATACTGGTAGAAAAGATAAACAATACAGCAAATCCTGGATTAACTTACCTTTAAAACAAAGTGTTTCTTTAAGAAAAAGTGCATGTCAATATTTAAAAAATAGGAAGTCATTTATAAAGAATTTGTTAAAAATAAAAAATAACATAGTTTATGCAGGAAACAAGTATCCAGAACATTTTGACAATAGAACTGGATTAAGCTTTCAATCACATCTGGCTGAATTGCAGAGATTTCCAACTGAAGAGAAAATTTATGAATGTAATCAAGTTGAGAGGTCTGTCAAAACTTGTTCCTCAATTTCATCACTTCAAAGATTTCCTCCTAGTGTCAAAACCAACATTTGTAACACATATGGAAAGGTTTCTTCCTTCATTCCTATGTATCCTTCATTGCTTACACAGCAACAGAAAACAAATATTAGAGAAAAATTATATGAATGTAGTGAATGTGGAAAGACTTTTATCCATCATTCAGTCCTTACTAGTCATCAGAGAATTCATTCTGAGCAGAGACCTTACAAATGTAATGAGTGTAGTAAAGCCTTTAAACAGTTCTCAAACCTCACAAGACATCAGAGAATCCACACTGGAGAGAAACCATATAAATGTAATATATGTGACAAGGTCTTTAATCAGAATTCCCACCTTACAAATCATTGGAGAATTCATACTGGAGAAAAACCACACAAGTGTAACGAATGTGGTAAGGCTTTTATCAAATGTTCAGACCTTTGGCGTCATGAGAGAATTCATACTGGAGAGAAACCTTACAAATGTAACGAATGTGGTAAGGGTTTTACCAAACGTTCATATCTTTGGGATCATCAGAGGATTCATACTGGAGAGAAACCGTACAAATGTATTGAATGTGGCAAGGTTTTTAGGCAGTGGTCTACCCTCAGGATTCACCGAAGAATTCATACGGGTGAGAAGCCTTATAAATGTAATGAATGCGGCAAAGCTTTTAAGCAGTGCTCACACCTGACTAAACATCAGAATGTACATCCTGGAGAAAAGCCACACAAATGTACTGTGTGTGGCAAGGCTTTTATCCACACTTCAAGTCTGGTAAAACATCAGAAAATTCATGCTGGAGAAAAACCATACAAATGTAATGAGTGTGGTAAGGCTTTCATCCAAAGTTCAAGTCTTATAGAACATCAGAGAATCCATACCGGTGAGAAACCTTATAAATGTAATGAGTGTGGCAAGGCCTTCACTGTGTGTTCAAGCCTAACTAAACATAAAAGAAACCACACTGGAGAGAAACCTTACAAATGTAATGAGTGTGATAAAGCCTATACACAATTCGTACACCTTACTAGACATCAGAAAATACATACCAAAAAGAAAAATCATGAACCTAATGTACCTGATAATGCTTTTATTCAGAGCTCAAGCTTGGAGGATTATCAGAGAATTCATGGTAGAGAGAAACCATACAAATGTAATGAATGTGGCAAAGCCTTTAACTGGTGTTCACGCCTCACCCGACATCAGAGGATCCATACTGGAGAGAAACCATATAAATGTAATGTATGTAGCAAGGCCTTCAGTCAGAACTCAAACCTAACAATTCATCAGAGAATTCATACTGGAGAGAAACCTTACAAATGTAATGAGTGTGGCAAAGCCTTTAAGCAGTACTCAAGCCTCACCAGACATCAGAATATACATCCTGGAGAGAAGCCACACAAATGTAATATGTGTGGTAAGGCTTTTATCAAACGTTCACACCTTTGGGGTCATGAGAAAATGCATACTGGAGAGAAGTCATACAAATGTACTGAATGTGGCAAGGCCTTTAGACAATGGTCTGACCTTAGGATTCACCAGAGAATTCATACTGGAGAGAAACCCTTAGAAATGTAATGAATGGTGTAAATCATTTAACCATTTTAAACAATGGACTATAATCAGATAACTTATACTAGGGAGACTAAGTCTCTAGTCCTAGATTAATCAATTTCAGATGTTAAGTTCTTCACAGTTATTAAAAGTCAGAATCATTTCAAATTTATGAAATGATGGGTATTGGTAAAGCAAGGAGATCTTTGGAAATGTACCATTTCCCTCTTTTTAAAAATACTTTTATTATATGAAGTTTCTTGAAAAGGCTGTATTACTATTGATGTTTTTCAACCTGAAGTTAAAAATTTATTGATGTTATGCCTTCATCACATGCTTTTATGTGTAACCATGATGGGCTCTGCTAAGGGATCATTAAGATAAAAGGGCCTACTTGTATTAGGTGGGGATCATTCATATTCATGTTTTCTGAAGGAACAGGACACTGAATTTTAACGAACAACACTGTGTTTTTGAATGAGTAAAACAATGATGTAAATCATAATAATTTCAGATCCTCTTCTACAGATTTGTTGGTACAACAGAGGACCCACTGGATTATCAGAAACCAACACTCTGCCAGTTGAGGCTGAAACAGAGCAGTCCTTAAGATTAAGAGACTGAGATTTTGGGCTTCCCTGGTGGCGCAGTGGTTGAGAGTCCGCCTGCCGATGCAGGGGACGTGGGTTCGTGCACCGGTCCGGGAAGATCCCACATGCCATGGAGCGGCTGGGCCCGTGAGCCATGGCCGCTGAGCCTGCGCGTCCGGAGCCTGTGCTCCGCAACGGGAGAGGCCACAACAGTGAGAGGCCCGCATAACGCAAAAAAAAAAAAAAAAATGAGACTGAGATTTTCATGAGAATAGGATGATAGGTTAGTAGGGACTGCTTATGTGGTAGAAATAATGGAGAAGAAATGATGGTCCTCCTCTCTTTTCCAAGAAAATAGCTGATGTCAAAGATGAGAGAAAATATAGTCTTATTCTTAGTAACTAAAGAGAACAATTATCAGAAAGGAGAACTTAATCAAAACACCCAGAATGCAGTGTACATGTGTAGGATTCACATTTAACCACTGTATCACTTTGATACCATTTTACTCAAAATGTGTCAGAGTTGTCATGTTTTATTAATATAATTTAATCATTTTAAAACTCTAAATGAATTTTTTTCTATCTTATCAAGCCTATGCCACCTCACTGTGGTACTTCGTAACAAATACTAACAATACATCTTTAGGACGTTAAGGTTGAAAGGCACCTGCAACAATTTCTTTGCATGATGGAATCAAACAACATACAATTTTATGAATATATATTCACAACATCCTTGAGTTATTCTTTCTACACTCTGCCCCTTGGGTATTCATGTGGATATGATTAAAATACCATAGCAGTACAACTTTAGACTCTGCCCTCTGTAACATTTGAAGTACTATTTGTAAATGTGATGTGATTATATCTCAGCGTGCCCCGTTTTTTGCCTGCATAAGACCCATGGCTTGCAATGCCTTGATTTATCAGTATACGAGGTAAAAAATAACATGTTAAGCATATGAAGTGTTAGGAAGTAGAAAATTTAAGGAATAAAGATAGGAATAGTATTTTATTCTTGGAGCTCTTACTGGAGTAATTTGAAAAGATCACTGATCATAAGTTTCCCCTTAAGAATGAACAGACTCGGGACTTCCCTGGTGGTGCAGTGGTTAAGAATCCACCTGCCAATGCAGGGGACGAGGGTTCGAGCCCTGATCCGGGAAGATTCCACATGCCGTGAAGCAACTGAGCCCATGTGCCACAACTACTGAGCCTGCACTCTATAGAGCCCGCGGGCCACAGCTACTAAAGCCCGCACGCCTAGAGCCTGTGCTCTGCAACAAAGAGAAGCCACCACAATGAGAAGCCAGCACGCTGCAACGAAGAGTAGCCCCCCACTCGTCGCAACTAGAGAAAGCCCCCATGAAGCAACAAAGACCCAACGCAGCCAAAAATAAATAAATAAGATAAATAAATTTTTTAAAAAAAGAACAAACAGACTAACTTAAGGAGGAAAGGATGGTTTATTTTGTTTTATTTATAGGCCAACTAGGAACTGAACATATGGACCCCCCTCAAAAATAGTTAATTGCACTTTGGGATATCCCACAGATATAAGATAGACCCTCCAAAAGTTAATACAGAAATCTCTTGTAAAATGGAGTCGGGAGGCCGGAAGGGGGAACTCTCATGTCCTCCCACTTGACATCAACTGCAAAGCCAATAGGAAGAGAAGTTTCTTCCATCCACCTGGAGAAACATTACTACTTTACTACCCAGCAGGAGGAAGAAATCATTTATCCTTGCCCAGCAACAGCCCAGCCAATGAGAGACTGTCACAACTCAGCCAATGGGAAGCCTTTATACTTTGAACTCCCAGTTTCCTTTAATGGACCTTTTTTTTTTTTTTTTTTTTTTTTTTATGACAGCCCTTCACAAGTTCCCCTTCTCTTCTATGAAAAAGTTTCTCTCCTGTGGTCTGCCATAGATTGCATGTCCTGAATTGCACTTCTTTGCTGTTTCTGAATAAACCCACTTTGCTTGTAAAATAACTGGCTGTTTTATTGTTTTAGGTCAACAACTAGAACCCAAAATCTGCTTTAGATGTCAAGACTGGTAATGCTAGACACCAAATAAGGATGAAAATGTTTTAAACATAATTAGACTTTTTGGATACAGCAGTGCAGGCTTCCCAAGTTGGCACAAAATGGCTTGAGAGAGCAAGGAGAGGAGACCTGTTTTAGGTTTATGTAGAGTTTATGAGTCCTGCAAGAGGTCTGATTTTCCTGGGGGCACCAAACAAAGGAGCATCTTGGCTTATAAGATTCCCCACTGTAGAGTACAGGGAGGACACAATAAATACGTGCTTTTTTTTTTGGTTTTGGTATGTCAGTTGTACCTCAGTAAGCTGTACTAAAAATGGGGAGAGGGTTGAGGCTTAAAAGCTGTCTATGGTCAGTCTCATTCTACCATGGGGATTTGTGAAGTAGTCGGCAATCTGCATCCTGGAAGAGGCTTCTCACCAGAATCAGACCATGCTGACACAATAATCTTGAACTTTCATCCTCCAGAACTGAGATCAGTCAAGATGGTGGAGCAGAAAAACCTTGAGCTCACCTCATCTCATGGGCACACCAAAGTCAACTATTTACAGAACAACCATTGATGAAAAAGACCAGAACCAGCCAGAAAAGACCACTAAAGACATAAAGAAGGAACTATAACAAGATGGTTAGGAGGGTCAGAGTCATGATATAGTCAAGTCTCAGAGCATTTGGCTTAGAAAGCCAGTGGGGCTTTCAGGAGTCCCAGAGGGCTGGGGGAGATAGAGACTTCACTCTTAAATGGCACACACAAAATATCACGTACTCCGGGACCCAGGGCAAAAGCAGTAACTTGACAGGAGCTTGCGTCAGACCTACATGCTGATCTTGGAGAGTCTCCTGGAGAGACAGGAGGCAACTGCAGCTCACCCTGTGGACAAAGACACTGGTAGCAGCCATCCTTGGAAGCTCCTTCTACTGTGTGGACAGTGGTGCTAGCAAGCGCCATTGCAGAATGCTCCCTCTAGCTTATTAGCCCCAAGACCCTGCCCTGCCCTGGTGCAACAGCCTGTAGGTATCAGTGCTGGGACACCTCAGGCCAAGAAACTAACTGGGCAGAGACACTGCCCCACCTCTCAGCAGATAAGCTGCCTCAAGACACCCTGAGCTCACATCCACCTCTGGACATGGCCCTGCCCACCAGAGGACCCAGGATCTAGCTCCACCCACCAGTGGGCAGGCATCAGCTCCAGAATCCTCTGGGCCCTGACCCTGTCCTCTAGGAATTCTGCTGTAGTCTCCAGACCAGCCTCATTCACCAGCGAGCACACACCAGATATAGGAAAACCATAGTCCTGCAACCTAAGGACCCAGCCTTCTCAACAGGAGGCCAACTGTAAATATATATGCACCCAACTTAGGAGCACCTAAATACATAAAGCAAATATTAACAGATGTAAAGGAAGAAATAGACAGTAACAATAACAGTAGGGGACGTTAACACCCCAATTAGATCAATGGACAGAAAATCAATAAGGAAACACTGGCCTTAAATGACACATTACACTAGATGGACTCCATATATATATATATATATATATATATGATGTATACACATAACATTCTATCCAAAAGGAGCAGAATACACATTCTTTTCAAATGCACATGGAACATTCTCCAGAATAGATCATATGCTAGGCCATAGAACAAGGCTTGGTAAATTTAAGAAAATTGAGATCACATCAAGCATCTTTTCTGACCACAACCCTGTGAGACTAGAAGTCAAATACAAGAAAAAAACTGCAAAAAACACAAACACGTGGAGGCTAAACAATATGCTACTAAACAACCAATGGATCATTGAAGCAATCAAAGAGGAAACCAAAACAATACCGGGAGACAAATGAAAATGAAAACATGATGATCCAAAACCTATGGGACACAGCAAAAGCAGTTCTAAGAGGGAAGTTTATAGCAGTACAAGCTTACCTCAGGAAATAAAAATCTCAAATAACCTAACCTTACACCTAAGGGAGCTAGCAAAAGAAGAATAAACAAAACCCAAAGTTAGTAGAAGGAAAGAAATCATAAAGATCAGAGCAGAAATAAATGAAATAGAGACTAAATAAACAATAGAAAAGATCAATGAAACTAAGAGCTGATTCTTTGAAAAGGTAAACAAAATTGATAAACCTTTAGCCAGACTCATCAAGAATATAAGGGAGGGGGCCAAATCAATAATATCAGAAATGAAAAAAGAAAAGTAATAACCAACACCACAGAAATACAAAAGATCATGAGACTGCTACTAACAACTGTATGCCAATAAAATGGACAACTGAGAAGAAATGGACAAAGTCTTAGAAATGTACAATCTCCCAAGATTGAACCAGGAAGAAATAGAATATATGAGCAGACCAATTAACAGTAATGAACTTGAATCAGTAATATAAAAACTCCCAATAAACAAAAGTCCAGGACCAGATGGCTTCATGGTGAATTTTATCAAACATTTAGAGAAGAGTTAACACCTATCCTTCAACTATTCCAAAAAACTGCAAAGAAATGAACATTCCCAAACTCATTCTAAGAGGCCAGCATCACCCTGATACCAAAACCAGACAAAGATATCACAAACACACACAAAGAAAACCCCAAGAAAATTAGAGGCCAATATCACTAATGAACAAAGATGCAAAAATTCTTAATAAAATATTATCAAACTGAATCCAACAATACATTAAAAGGACGATACACCTTGATCAAGTGGGATTTATCCCACGGATGCAAGGTTTTTTTTTTAACATCTGCAAACCAATCAATGTGACACACCACATTAACAGACTGAAGAATAAAGATCATATGATTATCTCAATAGATGCAGAAAAAGCTTTTAAGATCCAACATCTATTTATGATAAAAACTCTTCAGAAAGTGGGCATAGAGGGAACAAACCTCAACATAATAAAGGCCATATATGACAAACCCACAGCTAACATCATACTCAACAGTGAAAAGCTGAAAGCATTTCCTCTAAGATCAGGAACAAGACAAGGACGTCCACTCTCACCATTTTTATTCAACATAGTTCTGGAAGTCCTAGCCACAGGAATCAAAGAAGAAAAGAAAGAAAAGGAATATAAATT